GCCTAAAATGCTAAATGCTCTCCTGGGTCTGTCTTGTGATCAGAGAATTTATGATGAATGCATAGCTTTAGCGTTCACCACTGGGGCCTTGTCGGTACTGTCAATGGCCAATGATAGGGCCATAGAGTAGAGGATACACTGGCGTCTCTTCCTTCTACTTTTGTGATGTGCTGCTGATACTTGTGCTCTGGCACCAGCGGCTTCCAGGGGATGCTGCTCACGAACGATGGAGGAGGAGTCATGGGTGAAGGATCCTCAAGGACATCGGTATAGCTATGCACTCATCATGCTCTGGCACCAAAAGGGCTCTGATGACCCATGTCTCCTGAGAAGCAGTGGTGCAGTCTAGGACCCGAGCCACCCCGAGGGCGGCGCTGCGCCCTCCAGCACGGACCTGCGAGCATTAGCTGAAATTCATATTTTCATTTCTTCATTCAGCCATTCAGATTTTTGGTTGTCTGTGTTTTGTTTTGGGCCGTGGCCAGCAGCATTTTATTGGGAGGGCCGACCCAAGAGGAACACGCCCTCGACGCCCACCGCAGCCACAGTCCCTTGGGTCACAACCGAGCAAAGGGCCCAGGGTCGCGGGATGAAGGGGATAGCGCAAACCTCAGGCCTTCTCGGGGCCCAGGGAGGCTGGCGCTCCGGCCGTGGCGTTCCTGGTCACAACACCTCGGATCCACAGCCAGGACGACGGGGGACGTGGGGCGGCGAGCGGCGGGCGCAGAGGCAGGACCTCACCCTCGACTCGTGGGGCTCCAGGGGTCCCTGCACGAGACGGGGATCCCAGCGGCCGCGAGGCTGCGGGGCGGGCGGTGGGGGCTCTCCCGAGGCGGCGGCGACAGTGGCCTCGTCACCCCGCGCTGGGGGCGCCTGTGGCCCTCCGGGCGGGGCGTCGGGTCGAGTGGAGCCCTGCGCCCACTAGACAGTGGTAGAATTGGAACATGGATCTAAGGCTTTCCTGAAGCCCTTGTTTTTGTGACTGTCTCCTTAAAAATAACTTATTACACATGTAAAAATATTATGTCATTATGTGACTTTAACCCTTCATTGTCTTGGCACTAATTTACAATTCTGTAAGTTGTAGGTAATGATAGACATGCAAATTATGTTCTACTTTGTATGTTTAATTGATTTTCTTCTGCCCTTGTGAAAAAAATCAGTTTTTCCTCCGTTTGCTCATTTTTTTTAAACATCTCTTTGCTTTATATAAATTTGTGCTTTTTTCGTTTTTGACTTTTTCTTTGGTTATAACATCTCAACTAGTTCCCTTACTGTGAGTAAAATAAACTCTTTTTCACGCAGGCTCATTTTTATATCTACGTGAGAGTTATGATTTATCTGTTTTTGAAAATTATCCTTTAAAACATGCTATACATGCTTGTTTATTGTAGGAAAAAATAAAACAAAATATTTCTCAATGTCCACTGTAAAGAGATGACTATTGTTAAATTTTTGATGAATACACAAACTTTAATCAATAACAATATTCTTAAAAGTGAGATCATACTGTATATGCAGTTGTACTTCTTTTCACTTAAAGTATCATTAAGGTCTTTCTGTTTAAATAAATAAACATCTGTATCACTGTTTTAACGTAAACGGCTTGACATTCCTTTGCAGAACAGGAAGATGGGCTTCTTCCTAGCAGACACACTTCTGGAAGCACACCTGTGCCTTTCCAAGTGAAATTTCAGCTCTTTATGAACCCAGTTTGGCAGTGGCTGTCCTAGTCACCCTGTGGGTTGTGGATTTCCCAAATCCAGTAAAAACAAAAGCACTCAAACTGATCTTTGTTAATAATCTCTCATTGCTTTAATGTCCCAAAGCTGATGATTTGTGAAATCCTTCAAGGGAATTTTTAGATCAAAGGTTAAATATTGTTCAGTAATATTTTCCTATTAAAAATCTCCCAGTGCTTTGAGAAATATTAAATTCGTGTTTGGTAACGTGGTTTTGCTGACTCTCTGCTAAGCCAGATGACGAGGCTGCCCGTTGCTGAGGAAAAGGCACAAGATTTCATAAGCTTTGCATCTTTCCAGGTCCTTCCAGGTTCTGTTGCTAACCACGGCACTGTGCCGTGTCTGCTTCTGAGGCCCCGCAGTCCAGGGAAGTGGTTCCAAACACTGGTGAGCACTAAAAGCACCTGGGTAGTTTAAAAAAATATAAATACTCCAGAGTATGTCAGCTGGGCCAACAGGATCAAAATCTCTGTAGTAGGGCCTGTCAGTGTTACTTTTAAAAAAACCCCACAACTCTCCAGTTATATTCTCATGTGCAGTCTGGGTTTAAACCCACTGGCATTGAGAGTAGCCTCTGCTAATAACACACACCACCTTCCCCACTTAGCACTTATTAACGTTGGTTGCTTATATTAGATAATTTCAAATAATAGCCTTGCAGAAAAGGGAGAAGGCCTGTGGAAGAGAGAAGGCAGAAAGAGCCTGGATATTATTTATAAGCAGATTTAATCCTGCTGCAAGGAACAATAATCCAAGCGATGGAAACACAGAACATTCTCTTAGAAGGCAAGGACAGCCTGGTGACCATTTCATAGCATTGAGGTACAGATTTGTGTATCAGAGAACAATGATAATCAATACTATAAAGAATATCCTTTGCACAGAACTTGCACCTGTGCAATAACTTCTTTAAGGTAAACACTTAGATGTGAAATTTCTGATCTTAACTTTACCAATTATTACTTTCCAAATCTGTCAGTTTATTACCCCTCCCACCCCCCACCCCCCCATCTATGAGTTTTGCGAGTTTCCTGTGTCCTGGCCAACATTTGACATTAGACTTCTTTCATTCTGATGTGTGTGAAAGTATTTTGTTTTAGTTTTAATTTTCATTTGCTCAATTACTAATAATTACTAATGAGATGGTCATTTGAATTTCTTTCTGAATTGTCTATTCATATCCTTTGGCCATTTTTCTATTGGGTTGTCTTCTTATTGACTTATAGGCATCAATATATAGTCTTGCTATTAATCACTTATTGGTTATATGGATTTCTTGTGTTGTAGAATAGGAGTGTATTTATTTTTGGATATTGACCTTGTATCAAGTATCTTTATTGAACTTCCTTAATAGTTATAATTTGTGCATTCTCTTGGGTTTCTTACATCGATAATTACATTGTGAATAATGACAGTTTATTAATCTCATGTATGCATATATAAATATATACACAGGCCGGGCGCGGTGGCTCACGCCTGTAATCCTAGCTCTCTGGGAGGCCGAGGCGGGCGGATTGCTCAACGTCAGGAGTTCAAAACCAGCCTGAGCAAGAGCGAGACCTCGTCTCTACTATAAATAGAAAGAAACTAATTGGCCAACTGATATATATAAAAAATTAGCGCGCATGGTGGCGCATGCTGTAGTCCCAGCTACTCGGAGGCTGAGACAGAAGGATCGCTCGAGCCCAGGATTTGAGGGTTGCTGTGAGCTAGGCTGACGCCATGGCACTCACTCTAGCCTGGGAACAAAGCGAGACTCTGTCCAAAAAAAAAAAAAAAAAAAAAAAAATAATAAAAAAAAAAAAAAAATAAATATACAATTTTAACAGATTTTATTTGCTAGAGGAGCTTGGTTCACAGCATAGCTGAATGGAAGTCAGAATTCCGCATATCCCTGGTCCCAACATGGAGAGCTTGCCTTACTAATCAACATCCTTACCAGAAGGGTACATTTGGTACAAGTGGACTTACACTGACATATTATCACTCAAAGTCTAGTTTCCATTATAGTTCACTCTTGGTGCTGTATAATTATGGGCTTGGACAAATGTGTAATGACATGTATCTGTCATTATAGTGTCACACTAATAGTGTCACTGTCCTGATAATCTCTGTGTTCTCTGTCTTCACGCCTCCCTCCTTCCTGCCTGGCAACCACTGCTCTTTTTACTGTCTCCAAAGTTTTGCTTTTACAGAATGTCATATAGTTGGAATTATACAGTGTGTGGCTTTCACACTGGCTTCTTCACTTAGTAATATGATTCAAGTTTCTTCCATGTCTTTCATGCTGATAGCTCATTTCCTTTAGTTCAGAGTAATATTCCTTTGGATATCTACAGTTTATTTATCCATTCACCTACTGAAGAACATCTTGGTACTTCTACATTTGGTAATTATGGAAAAAGGTGCTGTAAATGTCAGTGTGTAGATTTGTTTATTATTTATTTATTTTTTATTTTATTTTTTGAGACAGAGTCTTGCTTCTGTTGCACAGGCTAGATGAGTGCCGTGCGTCAGCCTAGCTCACAGCAACCTCAAACTCCTGGGCTCAAGCAATCCTGCTGCCTCCAGCCTCCAAGTAGCTGGGACTACAGGCATGCGCCACCACGCCGCGCTAATTTTATTATATATATTAGTTGGCAATTAATTTTTCTCTATTTATAGTAGAGACGGGTCTCGCTCTTGCTCAGGCTGGTTTCGAACTCCTGACCTCGAGCAATCCGCCCGCCTCGGCCTCCCAGAGTGCTAGGATTACAGGCTTGAGCCACCGCGCCCGGCCTGTTTATTTATTTTTTGATACAGAGTCTTGCTCTGTTGCCCAGGCTAGAGTGCAGTGGCATCAGCATAGCTCGAAGCAACCTCACACTCCTGGGCTCAGGCAATCCTCCTCTCTCAGCCTCCTGAGTGAGCTGGGACTACACCTATGCACCACCATGGCCAACTAATTTTTTCTATTTTTAGTTGTCCAGCTAAATTTTTAAATATTTAGTAGAGACAGAGTCTCACTGTTGCTGAGCCTGGTCTTGAACTCCTGACCTCAAGTGACCCTCCTGCCTTGGCCTCCATAGTGCTAGGATTACAGGTGTGAGCCATCATGCCCAGCCTCAGTGTGTAGATTTTGTGTGGACATAAGTTTTCAACTCATTTGGGTAAATTCTCGGGAGTGTGGTTGGTGGGGCATATGGTAAGAGTACATTTAGTTTTGTAAGAAATTGCCAAACTGTCTTCCAAAGTGGCTGTATCATTTTTCATTTTCAGGAACAGTGAATGAGAGCTCCTGTTGCTGCACACCCTCACCAGTGTTTGGTGTCGTCAGTGTTTTGGATTTTGACCATTATAATAGGTGGGTGTATAGTGGTAACACACTGTTGTTTTAATTTGCATTTCCCTAATGGCATATGATGCTGAGCATCTCTTCATACACTTATTTGCCATCTGTGTATCTTCTTTGGTGAAGTGTCTGTTCAGATCTTTTGCCCATTTTTGAATTGGTTGTTCATTATCTTTATGTTGAGTTTTAAAAGACTTTTGTAGGCTGGGCGCGGTGGCTCACGCTTATAATCCTAGCACTCTGGGAGGCCGAGGCGGGTGGATTGCTTGAGGTTAGGAGTTCGAAAGCAGCCTGAGCAAGAGCGAGACCCTGTCTCTACTATAAATAGAAAGAAATTAATTGGCCAACTAATATATATAGAAAAAATTAGCTGGGAATGGTGGCGCATGCCTGTAGTCCAAGCTACTTGGGAGCCTGAGGCAGTAGGATTGCTTGAGCCCAGGAGTTTGAGGTTGCTGTGAACTAGGCTGATGCCACAGCACTCACTCTAGCCTGGGCAACAAAGAGAGACTGTCGCAAAAAAAAAAAAAAAAAAAAGACCTTTGTATATTTTGGATAACAGTCCTTTATTAGATTTGTCTTTTACAAATATTTTCTCTGAATGTGTGGCTTGTGTTCCCATTCTCTTGTTCCTTATATTTTTTAAAAACTTCTTTTTCTTTCGTATTGTGTTAGCTAGGACCTTCAGTACAATGTTAAGTGTAGGGGAGAAACAGCTATTTTTGCTTCTTCCTTGAAAGAGACCACATGTGTGAAATGTTTTAGCCTTAGATGTGATGTTTATTGTAGATTTTTGACAGATGTCTTCTACAATTTATGTAAGTTTTCTTTCCATTCCAAGTTTGCTAAAAGTCCTTTCTTGCCAGCCTTTATTTGAAATTATCATATATTTTGATCTGTTGATGGGATAGATTATGCTAGTAGATTTTCTAATGCTAACCCAGCCTTGCATTTTTGGCATAAGCCCTATTTAGTTACAATGTTAAATATTTTATACATTTCTGGATTTGATTTGTTAATATCTTATTTGGATTTTTATACTTTTGTAAGTGAATTTGATCTATAATTTTGTTTTCTTGTACTGTCCTTGTCTGCTTTTCCTGTCAAAGTTATACTGGCATTATGAAATGAGTTGGAATGCTTTTTCTCTATTTCCAGAGAAGGAGATAAATACACTTCGATAAACAGCCGCACGCAAGGAAATTCTTCACCTGTCGAATCCAATATCAAACAGGCCTTTTTTTTTCTTTTCCTATGCCATTTTTAACAATGTTCTTGGAGCTCAGTGTGGCTGTGACTATAACACAGGAATCACTACGTTGCTGAACTGCTTTCTACATACAGAGTTTTACAGCCAAAGTTTTCTGAAGAATAAAAATCTTCAAGATTGTATATTTTCAAACAAATATCTATTTGATACACCAAGCTGAATAATGGCCAGCTGCTCCTACTGTGTAACCGCTTGACAGAATGCATGAATAATTGTTTGTGGAAGACATTAATATGGGAACAAACTTTCTATGAAATTGCCAGTTCTTCTGTGGTCAATGCTATGGTCTGGATGTTTGTGTTCTCCCAAAATTTATATGTTGAATACCTAACCCCAAGGAATGGCATTAGGAGGTGGGGCTTTGGAGGTGATTAGGGCATGAGGGCAGAGTCCTCATGATGGGATTAGTGCCTTCTGAGAAGACACGCAGAAGAACTCATTCCCCACCTTCTGCCATGTGAGACACAGAAAGAAGTCAGCCATCTGCAATCTGTAAGACAGCTCTCACTAGAACTGACCCTGCTAACACTCTGATTCAGATTTTAGCTTCCATAAATGTGAGAGATAAAATTCTCTAAGTTTGTCTACACCCCAGTTTTGTAACTTGTTATACAGCCCACAATGAACTAAGACAGTCAGCTCTTCCATTAGTTGGAAGCACAGTTTCCATTATTGCTGAGCTACCGAGAGTGGACAGACCAGATCAAATTAATTTGGGAGTAGACATAATTCTCCAAGTTCTACTTTGATGCTCAGGAAATTTTGTTTTTTCAGACACTATGGATATGACTTCATAATGTGGATATGGAGCCAAGTCTACTGTAGATTAGAGCCTATAGGAATTTGCATCCTCTTCTTGGTGGTCCAAAAGACCACCTAAAGAAATAGATTCTGATTATCATCAATCATTTTTCATTAATAAGGTTGAGTTACTACTTATGTGACCACCATCACTCCATACACTGGGAACATGATAATGAATGAAACATAATGATTACTTTGTTCATGAGATCAATTCCAATGGGGAATGTAGGAAAATAAAATAGTATATAGAATTGTAGTACAGATATTGAGCAGAGTAATATTATATAGATAATATATTATCTATATCATCATCAATATTGTATTGATGAGAATACAATAAAATTTAATCATAAAAAAAACCATAAAAACTTTATCTTGTTGGAATTTTTAATTTATAAATATAATGAATTCACATATCAATAAAGAAACTACAATGAAGTCAGAAAACATTGGAAACTCAATTTGACAGTAGAAAACACTGCCTGCCAGGACCTGCAGAGTATAATTAAACCATATTATATATATATATATATATATATATATATATATATTAAGCATCAAGACTCCCCAAAAAAATGATATTAGGAATGAAAACGAAGCATAAATAACAGATATAGCAGCAATTAGACATTAATAGTTAGTATACTATAAATTAGGCCAATAAATTAAAAATTTAGATGAAATGGACAAACTGCTAGAAAACCATAACTTGCCAAAAGCAATTCAAAAAGAAAAGAATAAAATGGAGTAGACCAATAAACATTAAAGAAATTGAAGAAGTTGTTAAAATATACACACTAAAAGAAAAATGTTAGATAATTTTGCAGATGAATGTTACCTACCTTTCATGAACACATCCTACCTCTCTTACATAAAATTTAGGAGAGTAGAATAATAGTAATAATAGCTAAAACTAAAGGTTGGACTATATTATGGGACACTTTGGAATTCTTTACTTATTTTAACTGTTTTATTATTCATTCCTTATGAGGTGTATTTTCATTTTCCAATTAGGAACTAAGGCAAAGAGATTGGTTTAATTACTTAAGCAGCTAGAATAGAAAGGAAATAGGCCGGCGCTGTGGTCACGCCTGTATCTAGCTCTTGGAGCCGATGGCGGGCGGATTGCTCAAGGTAGGAGTTCAAACCAGCTGAGCAAAGAGCGAGACCCAAGTCTCTACTATAAAAAATAGAAAGAAATTAATTGGCCCATGATATATATAGAAGTTGCACGGGCATCAGTGGCGCATGCACTGAGTCCCGCTACTCGGGTAGGCCTGGGCAGAAGGATCACTCAGCCCTAGGAGTTTGAGGTTGCTTACTAGGTGACGCCACGGCACTCCACTCTACGCCTGGACAACAAAGCGAGACTCTGTCTCAAAAAAAAAAAAAAAAAAGAAA